GGAATAATGTATCCCTGTCTGTATCGTGTCTGTATCCCTGTCTGTATCCCTGTCTGTATCCCTGCCTGTATCCCTGCTTGTGTCCATGTCTGTATCATGTCTGTATCCCTGCCTGTATCCCTGTCTGTATCCCTGTCTGTATCCTGCCGTATCCTGTCTGTATCCCTGTTTGTATCCCTGCCTTTATCCCTGTTTGTATCCCTGCCTTTATCCCTGCCTGTATCCCTGTCTGTATCCCTGTCCCTGCCTTTTCCCTGCCTGTATCCCTGCCTGTATCCCTGCCTGTATCCCTGCCTGTATCCATGTCTGTATCCCTGCCTGTATCCCTGCCTGTATCCCTGCCTGTATCCCTGTCTGTATCATGTCTGTATCCCTGTTTGTATCCCTGCCTTTATCCCTGTCTGTATCCCTGCCTGTATCCCTGCCTGTATCCCTGTCTGTATCCCTGCCTGTATCCTGTCTGTATCCCTGCCTGTATCCCTGCCTGTATCCCTGTCTGTATCCTTGCCTGTATCCCTGCCTGTATCCCTGTCTGTATCATGTCTGTATCCCTGCCTGTATCCCTGTCTGTATCCCTGTCTGTATCATGTCTGTATCCCTGTTTGTATCCCTGTTGTGTTGTGTTTTTGTTGTTTGTGTTGTTTGTTTTTGTGTTTGTGTTTGTTTTGTTGTGTCCTTGTTGTATCCCTGTCTGTATCCCTGCCTTTATCCCTGCCTTTATCCCTGTCTGTATCCCTGCCTGTATCCCTGCCTTTATTCCTGTCTGTGTCCTTGCCTGTGTCTCTGCCTGTATCCCTGTCTGTATCCCTGCCTGTATCTCTGGCCTTATCCTTGTCTGCGTCCGTGCTTGTATCCCTGCCTTTATCCCTGTCGCTATCCATGCCCTTATTTCTGCCTTTATTCCTGCCTGCATCCCTGTCCTTATCCCTGCCCTTATCCCTGCCCGTATCCCTGTCTGTATCACATCACCCCCATTGCACACCCTGTGTCCCCACTGGGTACCCTGGGTTCACCAGGAGGGATGAGCTGGATGTGGGAGCAGGGAGACATCTCCGATGGGGCACACCCCGCCCCATTTCCAGGCTGGAAAGCCCAGTCTGGGATGGGATTCCCCATTCCACAGCCGGGTTTCACCTCTTCCCAGCTTGGAAATGGCACTGGGGTCCAGCACTGGGCTGGAATGGGGTTGGTGTTGAGGGGGACGCTGTGATTCCAGCATCTTCCTACAGCAACCAGCATCCAATTCACTTCCATCCACCCGTTCCCATTCCCAGCCATGGGCATGGTGCTGGGTTGGGGCTTCACTCCACTTCGCCCCATTGGCACAAGGAATGATGTCCTGGCACAGGGAATGCTGTCCTGGCACAGGGAATGCCGTCCTAGCACAAGGAATGCCATTGCAGCACAGGGAATATGATCCCAGCACAGGGAATACCATCCCAGCACAGAGAATGCCATCCTGGCACAGGGAATATGATCCCAGCACAGGGAATGCCATCCCAGCACAGGGAACACCATCCCAGCACAGGGAATGCCATCCCGGCACAGGGAATACCATCGCAGCACAGGGAATGCCATCCCAGATAACCCCATCCCAGCACAGGGAACTCCATCCCAGCACAGGGAATGCCATCCCAGATAATCCCATCCCAGCACAAGGAATAGGATTGCAGCACAGGAAATGCCATCCCAGCACAGGGAACACCGTCCCGGCACAAGGAATACCACCCTGGCGGGGAATGCTGTCCCAGCACAGGGATCGCCATCCCAGCACAGGGAATGCCATCTCAGCACAAGGAATACCATTGCAGCACAGGGAACACCATCCCAGCACAGGGAATGCCACCCCAGATAATCCCAGCCCAGCCCAGCGAATGCTGTCCCAGCACAAGGAATGCCATCGCAGCACAGGGAATGCCATCGAAGCACAGGGAATGCCATCCCAGATAAACCCCATCCCATCCCATCCCATCCCATCCCATCCCATCCCATCCCATCCCATCCCATCCCATCCCAGGGAGCTCCATCCCCGCTCCCCCCCCGTGTCCCTCCTCCTCCCCGCAGGGCAGGCTCTCCCATGTGCCTTTGTTTGCTTTCCTGCCCCGCTCCCGCCCCGTGACTTCAGCGGCTCCCCCGCTCCCTCCCTCCCCTCCCGTCCCGTCCCGTCCCTCCCCTCCTTTGTCCCGCTCCGCCCGGGCCCCATCCCGCTGTTCCCGGTGCTCCCCAGGCGCTCTGCGCGGCCGTCACCACCGCGGACCTGGCGGAGACGCAGGCGCTGCTGTTCTGCGGGGCCGCCGCGTCCTGCGCCACCGGGGACCCCCAGTGCCCCACGGCCCTGGCCCTGGCCCAGCGCAGCGGGCAGCGCCTGCAGATGGAGTTCCTGCTGCACAACAGGTCCTCAGGTAAGGGATTGAGCCCGGCGGCTCAGGGGATCCCACCGGGAATGCGGCCGGGGGATACAGGGGATACAGGGCGCTGGTACCCTGCTGGGGGATACAGGGCGATGGTACCCTGCTGGGGGATACAGGGCACTGGTACCCTGCTGGGGGATACAGGGTGATGGTACCCTGCTGGGGGATACAGGGTGATGGTACCCTGCTGGGGGATACAGGGCTGATTTTCCTGCTGGGGGATACAGGGCGATGGTACCCTGCTGGGGGATACAGGGCGATGGTACCCTGCTGGGGGATACAGGGCGCTGGTACCCTGCTGGGGGATACAGGGGGATACAGGGCTCTGGTACCCGCCTGGGGGATACAGGGCGATGGTACCCTGCTGGGGGATCCTGGGTGCTGGTACCCTGCTGGGGGATACAGGGCGATGGTACCCTGCTGGGGGATACAGGGGTCTGGTACCCTGCTGGGGGATACAGGGCGCTGGTACCCTGCTGGGGCATCCTGGGGGATACAGGGCGATGGTACCCTGCTGGGGGATACAGGGTGCTGGTACCTTGCTGGGGCATCCTGGGGGATACAGGGCTCTGGTACCCTGCTGGGGGATACAGGGCTCTGGTACCCTGCTGGGGCATCCTGGGGGATACAGGGTGCTGGTAACTTGCTGGGGCATCCTGGGGGATGCAGGGCTCTGGTACCCTGCTGGGGGATACAGGGCTCTGGTACCCTGCTGGGGCATCCTGGGGGATACAGGGTGCTGGTAACTTGCTGGGGCATCCTGGGGGATGCAGGGCTCTGGTACCCTGCTGGGGGATACAGGGCTCTGGTACCCTGCTGGGGCATCCTGGGGGATACAGGGTGCTGGTAACTTGCTGGGGCATCCTGGGGGATGCAGGGCTCTGGTACCCTGCTGGGGGATACAGGGCTCTGGTACCCTGCTGGGGCATCCTGGGGGATACAGGGTGCTGGTAACTTGCTGGGGCATCCTGGGGGATGGAGGGCTCTGGTACCCTCCTGGGGGATACAGGGCTCTGGTACCCTGCCGGGGCATCCTGGGGGATACAGGGCTCTGGAGCCCTGCCGGGGCATCCTGGGGGATACAGGGCTCCAGAACCCTGCCGATGTATCCCTGGGGATACAGGACTGTGGTCCCAGAGCTTTATCCTACCCAGCAGCTTCCCAGCATGGGGATATCCAGCTGCTCTGTGTACCCCAGGAGAGGGAAAAAGGGCTTTGGGGAGCACCACCATAGAATCATAGAGTAGTTAGGGTTGGAAAGGACCTTAGGATTATCAAGCCAGCCAGGGATACCGGTCCAAAGCCCTATATGGGATGCAGAGAAGGACAAAGGCACCATCCTGGGCATCCCAGTGGACATCCCTCTGTCCCCCACCTCCAGCATTCCCTAAACCTTCCCACCCATTCCACCCACTGTGGCTCCCATGGGATCCATCCGCACCCTAACCCAGGGTGAACTTCCACCCTGGGAGCATTCCAGGCGCCGGGATGGAGGTGTTCCCGCTTGCCCCAGCCATCACCTCCCTTCCCCGCCTCTGCAGCCAAGCCTGGCCCGCAGGAGCTGGAATTCACCCAGGATTGGGGCCGGCCCTGCCCTGCATTCCGGATGCGTCAGCACAAAACGGGTCTGGAAACCAACCCCTTGAGCTCATCCCGGCTCTGGAATTCCTGGGGTCGATGAGCTGTGTGTGGGTAGGGCTGGGATTCTGCCCCTTTTCCCTGTCCCAAGAGCTCCAGGGAGCCCCATGCTCTGAGCTGGGGGTGCTTTCGGGGTGTCCCTGCATCCCGGTTCCTGGAGGAACATGGGGAATGCCTCTTGTTGGAAGGCAAAAGGGGCGATGCTCCGCTCCTATGGAACCACAAGGAGCTGGGATGGACCAGGAGGAACCTCACCAGTGGGAAAACCCAGTCCCCGCCTTCCCACAGCATCCCATCCCAGCTCAGGGATGTGGGATGTGGGATATGGATATGGGATGCCCTGATCCCCACAGCCAGGGGGGGGCTGGAGCTGCTCCTTGCACCCCAACTGGTGCAGCCATGGGATGCTTTCGTGTTCCTGCTTCTTGGGCTGGGCCGGGGAGCCCCGGGTGAGTTGGGGCTGGGATTTTGGGGTGCTCCAGCCCCCCATGACGAGCTCTGCCCCCCTTCACAGAGCCCCCTCGCCTGGAGCTGGGGGGCAGCGAGGAGAAGCCCTACTCGGTTCCGCTGCCCTCCGTCACCCACCACGGCTTCCTCTACAAGACCCCGTCCATGGCCAAGCCCATCGGGGAGCGCAAGGGGCCGGAAGGTACGGGGGGGGTCTGTGCTGGGGATGGGGGACAGCGGCCCCGTTGTAATCCCTTTGTAAGCCCATTGCAAGCCCTTTGCAAGCCCATTCTAATCCCTTTGTAAGCCCATTGCAAGCCCATTGCAAGCCCATTTCAAGCCCATTGCAAGCCCTTTGTAATCCCTTTGTAAGCCCATTGCAAGCCCTTTGGAAGCCCATTCTAATCCCTTTGTAAACCCATTGCAAACCCATTTCAAGCCCTTTGTAAGCCCATTGCAAGCCCTTTGCAAGCCCATTCTAATCCCTTTGTAAGCCCATTGCAAGCCCTTTGTAAACCCATTGCAAGCCCTTTGCAAGCCCATTCTAATCCCTTTGCAAGCCCATTTCAAGCCCATTGCAAGCCCTTTGCAAGCCCATTGTAAGCCCTTTGTAAGCCCTTTGTAAGCCCATTGTAAGCCCATTGCAAGCCCATTGTAAGCCCATTGCAAGCCCTTTGTAAGCCCATTGCAAGCCCATTGCAAGCCCTTTGCAAGCCCATTGCAAGCCCTTTGCAAGCCCATTGTAAGCCCATCGCAAGCCCTTTGTAATCCCATTGCAAACCCATTGCAAGCCCTTTGTAAGCCCATTGCAAACCCATTGCAAGCCCTTTGTAAGCCCTTTGTAAGCCCATTGCAAGCCCATTGCAAGCCCATTGCAAACCCATTGCAAGCCCTTTGTAATCCCATTGCAAGCCCATTGCAAGCCCATTGCAAACCCATTGCAAGCCCATTGTAATCCCTTTGCAAGCCCATTGCAATCCCTTTGCACCCGGTTGTAGAGTTCAGCCGGCGCTGGTGCACGCTGCAGGACGGGCTCCTCAGCTACTACGAGAGCGAGCGCAGCGCAGCACCCAACGGGGAGCTCCGGGCCCAGGAGATGGTGTGCCTGGTGCACAACGCACCCCACACGCACGGGTAGGAGCAGCCCCCATGGGCACGCACACAGCACCCCCAGAGCCTTCCTAACCCCGTGTGAGCCTTTGGAACCCCTTTGTACCTCTGCAGACCCTTTGCAGCCCCTTTGTAACCCCTGTGCAGCCCCTTTGGAAAACCTTTGTACCTCTTCGGCCCCTGTGCATCCCCTTTGTAACCCCTGTGCAGCTCCTTTGGAAAACCTTTGTACCTCTTCGGCCCCTGTGCATCCCCTTTGTAACCCCTGTGCAGCCCCTTTGGAGCCCCTTTGTACCTCTTCAACCCCTGTGCAGCCCCTTTGGAACCCCTTTGTACCTCTTCAACCCCTGTGCAGCCCCTTTGGAACCCCTTTGTACCTCTTCAATCCCTTTGCAGCCCCTTTGTAAACCCTGTGCAGCCCCTTTGGAACCCCTTTGTACCTCTTCAATCCCTTTGCAGCCCCTTTGTAACCCCTGTGCAGCCCCTTTGGAAAACCTTTGTACCTCTTCGGCCCCTGTGCATCCCCTTTGTAACCCCTGTGCAGCTCCTTTGGAAAACCTTTGTACCTCTTCGGCCCCTGTGCATCCCCTTTGTAACCCCTGTGCAGCCCCTTTGGAGCCCCTTTGTACCTCTTCAACCCCTGTGCAGCCCCTTTGGAACCCCTTTGTACCTCTTCAACCCCTGTGCAGCCCCTTTGGAACCCCTTTGTACCTCTTCAATCCCTTTGCAGCCCCTTTGTAAACCCTGTGCAGCCCCTTTGGAACCCCTTTGTACCTCTTCAATCCCTTTGCAGCCCCTTTGTAACCCCTGTGCAGCTCCTTTGGAAAACCTTTGTACCTCTTCGGCCCCTGTGCATCCCCTTTGTAACTCCTGTGCAGCCCCTTTGGAGCCCCTTTGTACCTCTTCAATCCCTTTGCAGCCCCTTTGGAACCCCTGTGCAGCCTCTTTGGAACCCCTTTGTACCTCTTCAGCTCCTGTGCAGCCCCTTTGTAACCCTTGTGCAGCCCCTTTGTAACCCCTGTGCAGCCCCTTTGGAACCCCTTTGTACCTCTTCAGCCCCTTTGCAGCCCCTTTGGAACCCCTGTGCAGCCCCTTTGGAACCCCTTTGTACCTCTTCAATCCCTTTGCAGCCCCTTTGTAACCCCTGTGCAGCTCCTTTGGAAAACCTTTGTACCTCTTCGGCCCCTGTGCATCCCCTTTGTAACTCCTGTGCAGCCCCTTTGGAGCCCTCTTTGTACCTCTTCAATCCCTTTGCAGCCCCTTTGGAACCCCTGTGCAGCCTCTTTGGAACCCCTTTGTACCTCTTCAGCTCCTGTGCAGCCCCTTTGTAACCCTTGTGCAGCCCCTTTGTAACCCCTGTGCAGCCCCTTTGGAACCCCTTTGTACCTCTTCAGCCCCTTTGCAGCCCCTTTGGAACCCCTGTGCAGCCCCTTTGGAACCCCTTTGTACCTCTTCAACCCCTGTGCAGCCCCTTTGTAACTCCTGTGCAGCCCCTTTGGAACCCCTTTGTACCTCTTCAACCCCTTTGCAGCCCCTTTGGAACCCCTGTGCAGCCTCTTTGTAACCCCTTTGTACCTCTTCAACCCCTTTGCAGCCCCTTTGTAACCCCTTTGGAGCCCCTTTGGAACCCCTTTGTAGCTCTTCAGCCCCTGTGCATCCCCTTTGGAACCCCTTTGCAGCCCCTTTGGAGCCCCTTTGTACCTCTTCAACCCCTGTGCAGCCCCTTTGTTATCTCTTTGTACCTCTTCAACCCCTTTGCAGCCCCTTTGGAACCCCTGTGCAGCCCCTTTGGAACCCCCGTGGGACCCTTTGGAACCCCTTTGTACCTCTTCAACCGCTGTGCAGCCCCTTTGTAACCCCTGTGCAGCCCCTTTGTAGCCTCTTTGTACCTCTTCAACCCCTGTACAGCCCCTTCGTAACCCCTGTGCAGCCCCTTTGTAGCCTCTTTGTACCTCTTCAACCCCTTTGTAACCCTTTTGTACCTCTTTAGCTGCTGTGCAGCCCCTTTGTAGCCCCTATGGGACCCTTTGGAACCCTTTTGTACCTTTGCAGCCCCACTGTAACCCTTTGGTGCCTCTTCAGCCCTTGTGCAGCCCCTTTGCAACCCCTGTGGGACCCTTTGGAACCCCTTTGGAACCTCTTCAGTCTCTTTGCAGCCCCTTTGGAACCCCTGTGCAGCCCCTTTGGAACCCCTGTGCAGCCCCTTTGTAACCTCTTTGTATGTCTTTAACCCCTTTGCAACCCCTTTGTAACCTGTTTACAACCCCTTTACAACCCTTTTGTAACCCCTTTGCAACCCCTTTGTAACCCCTTTACAACCCCTTTGCAACCCCTTTGTAACCCCTTTACAACCCCTTTGTAACCCCTTTGCAACCTTTGTAACCCCTTTGCAACCCCTTTGTAACCCCTTTACAACCCCTTTGTAACCCCTTTGCAACCCCTTTGCAACCCCATTGTAGCCGCTTTGTAGCCCCATTGTTACCCTTTTGCAACCCCATTGTAACCCCTTTGCAACCCCGTTGTAGCCCCTTTGTAGCCCCATTGTAACCCCTTTGCAACCCCATTGTAGCCCCATTGTAACCCGTTTGCAACCCCATTGAAGCCCCATTGTAACCCCTTTGCAACCCCATTGCACCCCCTTTGCACGCTCTGCTCCCCGCTGGAGCATGCCCAGGGATGCTGAAGAGCCCAGTGCCGCAGTGGGGGGGTATCCCAATCCCCACGCTATACCCATACAACCGGGCTACCCACCCCCCACCACCACCCCTGGGTACCCACGCTCCCCATCCCTCCCTTCCCACAGCATCGAGCACACCTTTGAGGTGTACATGGAGTCGGAGAGGCTCTACCTGTTCGGGCTGGAGAGCCCCGGCTCCGCTCGGGAATGGCTCAAGTCCATTGCCAAGGTAGGATGCGATGGGTTGGGAACAATGGGCGGATGGAGCCGGGAGCTGCAGCACTGACGGGCTCCTCTTCCTCCCAGTCCTTCATCCACCCCTGTGCCGAGGAGCTGCTGGCGCTGGACTTCGAGCGCATCGGCCGCCTGCACTACAAGGGGGGCCTCAACCTGGAGCGCACCAAGGAGGGCTGGTTCGCCCTAATGGGGTCCGTGCTCCACGTCTGCTTCCAGGGCGGCGAGCGGCAGGAACCCCTCCAGCTCCGCAAGCTGCAGGAGCTCTGTGAGTGCCCCTGCCCCACTGAGGGGTCCCCGTCTCCGCTATGGGGGTGTGGGGGTGAGGGGGGGACCCAACATCCTTGTGGGGACATTGGGGGTGATGCTTTGGTGGAGCACAGGCTCCTTCTGCTCCTTGGAAAGCTGCTTTGCATCCCATAAGGGCTGGGAGGGAGCGTGGGGACAAGGGGGGACCCCCAGATCCTCATGGGTGGCAGCTGGTTGGTAGTGGGGGATTGGGAATGATGCTCTGATGGGATGCAGGCTCCTTCTGAGCTCTTCCCTACCCATGGAGAGCTGCTCCTCATCCCGTTTGGGCTGGAGGGGGACCAGGGGACCCCACATACTCATGGGTGATGTTCTCTTTGCCTTCCCTTCCAGCCATCCAGGGGGACAATGAGGTGCTGGTGCTGGTGGAGAGGCGGAGGTAGGAGCAGAGGATGGGGGGGGTTGGATGCTTCCATCAAAATATCCCAGCCCTTCCCAAGTTATTCCTTGTTTTGGGGAGTCTTTACCCTCTCTGCAGCAACTGGGGACCCCAAAAGAGGAACAGGACTATCCCCATGCCCCTGGTTCCAGCCTCCCGGGGGGGGGGGGTCCAGCTGTGCAGTGGGGTTTGGTGGCGCATTGGGTCCCATACTGAGGCCAGGCTTCCCGGCAGGACGCTGTACATCCAAGGGGACAGGAAGCTGGATTTCCTGGGATGGGTCCAGGCCATCCAGAAGGCTGCGGGCAGCTCCGGGGACACGTTGTCAGAGCAGCAGCTCACCGAGTCGGATGTCCCACTGCTGGTGGATCGCTGCATCGACTACATCACCCAGTGCGGTACGTGCACACATCACCCAGTATGGTACTTGCCTGCATCACCCAGTATGGTACTTGCCTGCATCACCCAGTGCGGTACATGCCTGCATCACCCATCACCCAGTGCGGTACGTGCCTGCATCACCCAGTGTGGTACATGCCTGCATCACCCAGTGCGGTACGTGCCTGCATCACCCAGTGCGGTACGTGCCCGCATCACCCAGTGTGGTACGTGCCTGCATCACCCATCACCCAGTGCGGTACGTGCCCGCATCACCCAGTGTGGTACGTGCCTGCATCACCCATCACCCAGTGTGGTACTTGTCTGCATCACCCATCACCCAGTGCGGTACGTGCCTGCATCACCCAGTGTGGTACTTGCCTGCATCACCCATCACCCAGTGTGGTACTTGCCTGCATCACCCAGTATGGTACTTGCCTGCATCACCCAGTGCGGTACGTGCCTGCATCACCCATCACCCAGTGCGGTACGTGCCTGCATCACCCAGTGCGGTACATGCCTGCATCACCCAGTGCGGTACGTGCCTGCATCACCCAGTGCGGTACATGCCTGCATCACCAACTCACCTCATAGACACCATAGAGTCAGCTGGGTTGGAAAGGAGCTTCAGGTCCACCCAGTGCAACCATTGCCCCACAGCCACCACTGCCCCATGGCACTGAGGGGGTGTGAACCCTTGCAGGGCCGGTGCCTGCAGCCCTGCCCTGGGCAGCCTGTTCCAATGCCTGAGCACCCTCTGGGGCAGGAATTGCTCCTCAGCTCCATCTAAACCTGCCCTGGTGCAGCTTGAGGCCGGTTCCTCTTGTCCCATCCCTTGTTCCTTGGGAGCAGAGCCCAGCCCCTCCTGGCTCCATCCTCCTCTCAGGCACTTGGAGGCAGCCATCAGGTCCCCCCTGATCCCTCTCCATCCCGAGCAGATCCTCCAGCCTGTTCCCTCTGGAGCAGGTCTCATCCCAACGGCTCTCCCCTAGGGTTGACATCCGAAGGCATCTACCGCAAGAGCGGGCAGAACTCCAAGACCACGAGCCTGCTGGAGATGCTGCGCAGGGATGCCCGCAGCGTGCGCCTCAAGGAGGGCGAGCACCACGTGGATGATGTGGCCAACACCCTCAAGAGGTTCTTCAGGGACCTGGGGGACGGGCTCTTCACCAGGCACTGGGGCCAGGACTGGATGCGGGCCACTGGTGAGCACTGGGGGCTGTGGGTGCTGTGGGACCAGGTTGGGGTCGCTGTTCTGCTGTAGCATCCTTCATCCTCTCCTCCATGGTTGGGGCAGGCACCCAACACCCATGCTGGGAGTGGAGTGGGTGGGGAGTGGAGGGTGACCCCGTGCAGCTTGGATGGGGGCAGTGAACCAGACCCCCCTGCCCTGGGCTCATGAATCCATCCCATGGATACTGGGGATGGATGGACCCAATGGCAAACAGCCATGAGGCACAGTGCTGTGGAGCTGGGATGCTCCAGCCACATGGAGATGGGATGCTCTGGCCCTGGGATGCTTCTGCCCTGTGAAACTGGGATAATCCAGCCCCATGATACTGGGATGCTTCAGCCCTGGGGAGCTGGGATGATCTGGCCTTAGGATGCTCCAGCCCTGGGATGCTCCAGCCTCATGGAGCTGGGATGATCTGGCCTTAGGATGCTCCAGCCCTGGGATGCTCCAGCCCCATGGAGCTGGGATGCTCCAGACCTTGGATGCTCTGGCCCTGTAGATCTGGGATGCTCCAGCATCATGATGATGGGATGCTCTGTACCTATGGAGCTGGGATGCTCCAGCCCTGGGTTGCTCTGGCTCTGTGGGAGTGGGGTGCTCCAGCATCATGATGATGGGATGCTCTGTACCCATGCATCTGGGATGCTCCAGCCCTGGGTTGCTCTAGCCCTGTGGGTCTGGGGTGCTCCAGCATCATGGTGATGGGATGCTCTGTACCTATGGAGCTGGGATGCTTGAGCCCTGGGTTGCTCTAGCCCTGTGGGTCTGGGGTGCTCCAGAATCATGCTGCTGGGATGCTCTGTACCTGTGGAGCTGGGATGTTCCAGCCCTTGGATGCTCTGGCCCTGTAAATATGGGATGCTCCAGCATCATGATGATGGGATGCTCTGTACCTATGGAGGTGGAATGCTTGAGCCCTGGGTTGCTCTGGCCCTGTGGGTCTGGGGTGCTCCAGCATCATGCTGCTGGGATGCTCTGGACCCATGCAGCTGGGATGCTCCAGCCCTGGGATGCTCCAGCATCATGATGCTGGAATGCTCTGGACCTATGGAACTGGGATGCTCCAGCCCTCGGGTGCTCTGGCCCATGGAGCTGGGATGCTCTGCTCTTATGGAGCTGGGATGATCGGCTGCTGGGATGCTCCATCCCCACACTGGAGGCTCTAAGCTGGGATGTGGAGGGGGGCTGTTGGGGCCATGAATCCTGATCTCACCTTCACCCCCCTCAATGCTCATCCCCTGCCAGCGCTGGAGGACGAGGAGGTGAAGATCACCGAGTACCGGCGGCTCCTGGGCCTGCTCCCCACGGTGAACCGGGCCACGCTGAAGGCGCTCATCAACCACCTATTCCGGTACGGCGCGGGTACCAATCCCTATGGAGCATCACCCCCTCCTCCGTGGCACCTGCATCCCTTGGCTCACATCCCAGACCAGGAAGGGTCCAAAGCCGAGCATCCCATCCCGGCATTGGGACCGTTCCCCTTGGCAAGGCTGAAGGAGGGATGCTATGGGGATGTGGGGCTGGGATCTCAATGGGGCTCCCCACAGGGTGCAGCGGTTCTCTGGGGAGAACCAGATGAACACACACAACCTGGCCATCGTCTTCGGGCCCACGCTCTTCCAGATGGATGGGAAGGACTACAAGGCAGGACGGGTGGTGGAGGACCTCATCAGCCACTATGTGAAGATCTTCAATGTGGGTTCAGTGCTCCCTTTGGATCAGGATGGTGTGGGGGTATTCCCAGGGGATGGGGTTGGGGATGGGGAATCTCCTCTGCTTTGGAGATGAGGGGAAGGGCTCCATGTCCCTGCAGACCCTGGGGACCCCCAAGCATGGAGCTGCTGGGCAGGGGAGCAGGTTCCACTGGGAGCCAGCATCTGCTGGCTGATGGCTCCTCATCCTCGTAGGTCAATGACCAAGAGATGAAGAAGCAGCAGGATGAGATCACGGCCATCATGAAGATGCGGGAGGCAGCATCCAGCGGGACACAGGTACATGGGGACCTGCCATGGGGTGCTCTGCACATGGGGCTTGCTCCAGCATCTCCTGGAGGTGCCGGGTGATGGGATTCATCCTTCCTATGGGAGCTGTGGGTTGAGGAGCTTTCCCCTTGTCCTGCAGCAAGCTGGGGACTTCATCTGCACCGTGTACCTGGAGGAGAAGAAGACGGAGGCAGAGCAGCACGTGAAGGTGAGCGATGGGCACAGGGACAGGGCCAGGCTCCGTGGTGGCACAGGGACAGGGCCAGGCTCCTGGTGGCACAGGGCCAGGCACTGAGGAGCGAGGGTGGAACGGCCCCGGGCACATGGAGACCTGTCCCCTCCTTGTAGATCCCAGCCACCATGACCGCCGAGGAGCTCACCTTCGAGATCCTGCACAGGAGGAAGGTGGTCATGAAGGAGAAGGACTATTGGAGCTGCTACGAAGTGAATGAGAGGGAGGAGGCAGGTGGGTGGGAGGGGATTGAGGATGGGGAGAGAGGTGGGGATGGGGATGGGGATGGAGGTGAGGATGGAGGTGGGGATGGGGTGGAAGACAGGGATGAGGATGGAGATGGAGGTGGGATGGGGATGAAGATGGGGTTAAGATAGGGATGGGGATGTAGATGGTAACGGAGATAGGGATGAGTTGCAGATGAGGTTGGAGATAGGGATGGAGATGGGCATGGAAATGGATTTGGAGATAGAGATGAGATGGAGCTGGAAATGGGGTTGAAGACAGTGATGGAGATGAGATGGAGGTGGGGATGTGGATGGAGATGGGATGGAGGTGGGGATGGGGATGAAGATGGGGTTAAGATAGGGATGGAGATGTGGATGGAAAATGGAAATGGAGATGGGGATGGGGATGAAGATGGGGTTAAGATAGGGATGGGGATGAAGATGGGAAATGGAGATAGGAATGAGTTGCAGATGAGGTTGGAGATAAGGATGGGGATAGAGATGGAAATGGATTTGGAGATAGAGGTGAGATGGAGCTGGAAATGGGGTTGAAGACAGTGATGGAGATGAGATGGAGGTGGGGATGTGGATGGAGATGGCATGGAGATGGGGATGGGGATGAAGATGGGGTTAAGATAGGGATGGGGATGTAGATGATAACGGAGATAGGGGTGAGTTGCAGATGAGGTTGGAGATAGGGATGGAGATGGACATGGAAATGGATTTGGAGATAGAGGCGAGATGGAGCTGGAAATGGGGTTGAAGACAGTAATTGGAGGTGGGGATGTGGATGGAGATGGGATGGAGGTGGGGATGGGGATGAAGATGGGGTTAAGATAGGGATGGAGATGTAGATGGTAACAGAGATAAGGATGAGTTGCAGATGAGGTTGGAGATAGGGATGGAGATGGGCATGGAAATGGATTTGAAGATGAGATGGAGATGGAAATGGGGTTGAAGACAGTGATGGAGATGAGATGGAGGTGGGGATGTGGATGGAGATGGGATGGAGGTGGGGATGGAGATGAAGATGGGGTTAAGATAGGGATGGGGATGTAAATGGTAACGGAGACAGAGATGAGTTGCAGATGAGGTTGGAGATAGGGATGGAGATGGACATGGAAATGGATTTGGAGATAGAGGTGAGATGGAGCTGGAAATGGGTTTGAAGACAGTGATGGAGATGAGATGGAGGTGAAGATGTGGATGAAGATGGGATGGAGGTGGGGATGGGGATGAAGATGGGGTTAAGATAGGGATGGAGATGTGGATGGAAAATGGAAATGGAGATGGGGATGGGGATGAAGATGGGGTTAAGATAGGGATGGGGATGAAGATGGGAAATGGAGATAGGAATGAGTTGCAGGTGAGGTTGGAGATAAGGATGGGGATAGAGATGGAAATGGATCTGGGGACAGAGGTGAGATGGAGATGGAAATGGGGTTGAGGATAGTGATGGAGATGAGATGGAGGTGGAGATGGAGATGAAGATGAGGTTGAAGATAGGAATGGAGATGGAAATGGAGATGGGCTTGAAGACAAGGATGGGGATGGAGATGAACATGGGGATGGGGATAAAAGGTTTCCCATGGGGTCTGCAGCATGAGGCAATGCTGGGACTGGTCCATGCCCTCCGGGGAGGGCGACTGCAGGTTGCTCACCACATCCCTGCTGCAGATGAGCTGGTGACTGGGACCAGGACCCACAGGACACCTTTAGGGGTTAACCACCAGTGAAGCTCAGAGGGGGTGCTGGGTTCCCCACCCCAGGGTGCCCATGGGCAGCAGCAAGAGCTTGGCATGAGCAGGATGAGGCCCAGGCAGGATGCTGAGCCCATCACTCAAAGCCAACATGGGATGCTTTGGTCCTTGCCAAGCCCAAGCCCTCAAGCCCCTCTGCACAGGATGGGTCCCTGTGGTGCCTGTCCCACCGTGCTCATGCGTGTCCCTATGGGAAGGTGGGCAGGAGCTTGGGATGCACGTGTGGCTCTATGGGGTGATGCCAGAGCCTATGGGGATGATGCCTGACCCCTGCCTGTCCCTGCCTGGCAGAGAGGCCCCTGCACTACTCAGAGAAGGTCCTGCCCATCCTGCACTGCCTGGGCACCGAGAGCTACCTGGTGGTGAAGAAGCAGATGGCCATGGAGAACATGCTCATCTACCTGGGTGAGAGCCACGGTGCTGCGGGGAGGGGATGGGATGGGATGGGATGGGATGGGATTGGGGATGGTGATGGATGGAGATGGGATAGGGATGGGGGTGGGATTGAATGGTGATGGGTGGAGGTGGGATAGGGATGGGGTGGAGATGGAATGGGGACAGGGGTGGGATGGGGGTGGTGATAGAATGGGGATGGGAAAAAAGAATGGGATTAGGTGGGATGGTGATGGGGATGAGATGGCAATGAGGATGGGATGGGGATAGAGATGGGGATGCAAGGGGAGGAGGTGGGATGGGGATGGGGTGGAGATGGAATGGGTTGGGATGGAATGGGGACAAGGGTGGGATGGGGGTGGTGATAGAATGGGGATGGGAAAAAGAATGGGATTAGGTGGGATGGTGATGGGGATGAGATGGCAATGAGGATGGGATGGGGATAGAGATGGAGATGCGAGGGGAGGAGGTGGGATGGGGTAAGTGATGGGAAGGGGATGGGATAGGGATGGTGTGGAGATGGAATGGGTTGGGATGGAATGGGGACAGGGGTGGCATGGGGGTGGTGATAGAATGGGGATGGGAAAAAGAATGGGAATAGGTGGGATGGTGATGGGGATGAGATGGCAATGAGGATGGGATGGGGATAGAGATGGGGATGCAAGGGGAGGAGGTGGGATGGGGTAAGTGATGGGAAGGGGATGGGATGGGGATGGGGTGGAGATGGAATGGGTTGGGATGGAATGGGGACAAGGGTGGGATGGGGGTGGTGATGGAATGGGGATGGGAAAAAGAATGGGATTAGGTGGGATGGTGGTGGGATTGAGATGGCAATGAGGATGGGATGGGGATAGAGATGGAGATGCAAGGGGAGGAGGTGGGATGGCGTAAGTGATGGGAAGGGGATGGGATGGGGATGGGGTGGAGATGGAATGGGTTGGGATGGAATGGGGACAGGGGTGGGATGGGGGTGGTGATAGAATGGGGATGGGAAAAAGAATGGGATTAGGTGGGATGGTGATGGGGATGAGATGGCAATGAGGATGGGATGGGGATAGAGATGGGGATGCGAGGGGAGGAGGTGGGATGGGGTAAGTGATGGGAAGGGGATGGGATAGGGATGGGGTGGAGATGGAATGGGTTGGGATGGAATGGGGACAGGGGTGGGATGGGGGTGGTGATAGAATGGGGATGGGAAAAAGAATGGGATTAGGTGGGATGGTGATGGGGATGAGATGGCAATGAGGATGGGATAGGGATAGAGATGGGGATGCAAGGGGAGGAGGTGGGATGGGGTAAGTGATGGGAAGGGGATGGGATGGGGATGGGATGGGGATAGGACGGAAATGGGGATGGGAAGGTGGAGATGGGATGCGAGGGGAGGAGATGAGATGGAGATGAGATGGGTTGGGATGGGGTAAGTGATGGGAAGGTGATGGGATAGGGATGGGGATAGGATGGAAATGGGGATGGGAAGGTGGAGATGGGATGCGAGGGGATTGGATGAGATGGAGATGAGATGGGTTGGGATGGGGTAAGTGATGGGAAGGGGATGGGATGGGGATGGGATGGGGTAGGTGATAGGAAGGAAATGGGAAGGTGATGGGATGGGGATAGGATGGAAATGGGGATGGGAAGGTGGAGATGGGATGCGAGGGGAGGAGCTGAGATGGGTTGGGATGGGGTAAGTGATGGGAAGTAATGGGATGGGGTGGGATGGGATGGGATGGGATGGGGTAAGTGATGGGAAGTAATGGGATGGGGTGGGATGGGATGGGATGGGATGGGGTAAGTGATGGGAGGTAATGGGATGGGATGGGTTGGGATGGGGTAAGTGATGGGAGGTAATGGGATGGGATGGGGCCGGGGGCGAGGCAGGAGCAGCGCTGGGGCTGGAAGTGCTCAGTGGGTGCCCGCAGCCAGCAGAGGGGGTGACTGCAAGCACGGGCTGATGAAGTTCCGGGAGGAGAGGAACCTGCTGGGGCTGGGGCTCAGCACCGGCTTCCATGACCGGTACTTCATCCTGAGCCACCACTGCCTGCGCCTCTATAGGGACGTGAGGGTGAGCCCGGCCTCCCCTGCATCCCCATCCCCATCCCAGTGCTGGTCCCGTGTCCCCTGTCCCCATGGTGCTGGCACCATCTCTGCCCTCTCTGTTCCATCCTGGTGCCAGCCTCACCCTCTGCAAGCCCAGACCCCTCCCCGAGGGGACAGAGCCCATCCCGTGTCCCTATGGGGACCCCGAGCAGGGCCGGGCAGTCCCCAGTGTGGTGCTGGTGCCTCTTCCCACAGAGCCACAAGCCGGAGAAGGAATGGCCCGTGGGGAGCCTGCGCGTGTACCTGGGCATCAAGAAGAAGCTTCGGCCTCCAACGTGGTGAGCGGCAGCGGTGGGGTGTCCTGGGGTGGGGACTGGGATGGGGATGGGATGGGACAGGGATGGGGATTGAGACCGGGATGGAGATGGGGATGGGGATAAAGATGGGATGGGGACAGGTCTGGAACAGGGCTTGGGCTGCGGGTGGGGATTGAAACAGGGATGGAGATGGGGATGGAGGTAAGGACAGGATGGGGATTGGGGTAGGACAGGGGCGGTGGTGGAGACAGGGGTGGGGATGGGGATGGGAATGGGGCAGGGATGGGCACAGGAGTAGGGATGGAGATGGGGATGGAGATAAGGACAGGATGGGGATTGGGGTAGGACAGGGACGGTGGTGGAGACAGGGGTGGGGATGGGGATGGGAATGGGACAGGGATGGGCACGGGCAGGGATGGGGGCAGGGATGGAGATAAGGACAGGATGGGGATTGGGGTAGGACAGGGACGGTGGTGGAGACAGGGGTGGGGATGGGGATGGGAATGGGACAGGGCTGGGCAGAGCGGCAGGGATGGGGCAGGGATGGAGATAAGGACAGGATGGGGATTGGGGTAGGACAGGGACGGTGGTGGAGACAGGGGTGGGGATGGGGATGGGAATGGGACAGGGCTGGGCAGAGCGGCAGGGATGGGGCAGGGATGGAGATAAGGACAGGATGGGGATTGGGGTAGGACAGGGACGGTGGTGGAGACAGGGGTGGGGATGGGGATGGGAATGGGACAGGGCTGGGCACACGGGCAGGGATGGGTACAGGGACAAGGCAGGGGCCAGGGCCGGTTGTGCCGCGGGGACGCGCCTGGTGCTGGCCGCGCCTCCGGCCACCAGATGGCGCAGCAGAGCCGCGGGACGGTGCTGCGGGACCGAGACAGCGCCGAGAGCCTGGAACGGCCCCATCCCTGCCCCATCCCAGCCCTGTCCTTAGCCCTGCCCCGTCCCCATCCCAGCCCCGGCCCCATCCCTGCCCCGTCCCCATCCCTGCCCCGTCCCCATCCCAGCCCCGGCCCCATCCCTGCCCCGGCCCCATCCCTGCCCCGGCCCCATCCCTGCCCCGGCCCCATCCCTGCCCCGTCCCCATCCCTGCCCCGTCCCCATCCCTGTCCCATCCCCATCCCTGCCCCGTCCCCATCCCTGCCCCGTCCCCATCCCTGCCCCGTCCCCATCCCTGCCCCGTCCCCATCCCTGCCCCGTCCCCATCCCTGCCCCGTCCCCATCCCTGCCCCGCCACCTGCCCCGTCCCATCCCTGCCCCGTCCCCATCCCTGCCCCGTCCCCATCCCTGCCCTCTCCCATCCCTGTCCCATCCCCATCCCTGCCCTGTCCCCATCCCTGCCCCATCCCCATCCCTGCCCTCTCCCCATCCCTGCCCCATCCCCATCCCTGCCCTGTCCTCATCCCTGCCCCATCCCCATCCCTTCCCTGTCCCCATTCCTGCCCCATCCCCATCCCTTCCCTGTCCCCATCCCCATCCCCATCCCTGCTCTGTCCCCATCCCTTCCCTGTCCCCATCCCCATCCCTGCCCTGTCCTCATCCCTGCCCCATCCCCATCCCTTCCCTGTCCCCATTCCTGTCCCGTCCCCATCCCTGCCCCATCCCCGTCCCTGCCCCATCCCCATCCCTGCCCCGTCCCCATGGGCATGGGCATTGCGTGTGTGCATGTATGTGGGGCTGTGCCTGCGTGTCAGCCAGATGTGTAAATGCTGCTCATGTCCATATGGGTGAGTGCATCCATGTCGGCAACTCGTGTACACGCATGTGCACATGTACATGTGTGTGTGTGCGTGCTCACGGTTTCCATCTCCCTTCAGCTGGGGCTTCACAGTCTTCTATGAGAACGAGAAGCACGAGAAGCAGCAATGGTGAGAGCGGGGATGCACACGGGATGCAGAGCCCATCCCATGGGATCCATCCGCACTGTGGGTACTGGGTTGGGGTTGGGGTTAGGGCCCTGCAGCAGGGCCAGGCCAAGGGGAATGGCTTGAACCTGCCCGAGGGGAGCCTGAGCTGAGCTCTTAGGCAGAAGCTCTTCCCTGTGAGGGTGCTGAGGCGCTGGCACAGGGTGCCCAGAGAAGCTGTGGCTGCCCCATCCCTGGCAGTGCTCAAGGCCAGGTTGGACACAGGGGTCCCCCCTCTTTGTGTCCCCACGGCCCCCCCATCCCCTCCATGCCCCCATAGGTACCTGTGCTGTGACACCCAGGCCGATCTCCGTGAGTGGTTCGCCACCTTCCTCCACGTGCAGGTGGGCAGGAGGATGCTGCATCCCAGCATCCCTAAATCCCCGCATCCCAGGGCAACGCAAGGGGCTCTGAGGACCTCATTGCCCACCCCGTGTCCCCTCTGTCCCCAGCACGGGGGGGCCCTGTGGCCCTCGGAGAGCTCCAAGGTGAGGACGTCGCGGTGGCAGCAGGACTCCAGGTTGGGTAACATCTCCCTCATCCCGCTGCGGGGCAATGAGAGTGAGATGAGGAACAGTGTGGCTGCTTTTGCTGCTGACCCGCTCACTGTGAGTGATAGGGGGTGCTATGGGGGGACCCTGTGTGTGGGGCTGCATCTCCTCTGCATCACACAAAGGGGGTGTTTCTGGTACCCAGGGATGCGGGGAGCATCCCCGTTCCTATTCCTTATGCATCAGCATCAACCTCTGATCACACCAGAGGGGAGGGAGGTGATGCTTTGGGTGCTCTCAATGGTGTTGGGGTGATGTCCAAGGTGCAGGAGGGGCCCAACCCGTGTGATGCAAGGCAAGGGGATGCTGCCAAGGGTTGGTTTCTCTGGAACCCTGTCCTGGTCATAAATCAGCCCCATCCCCTCATCCTCCCGTCTGCCTGTCCATGGGCATCCCCGCATCACACCAGTGCTGTGGGTGCCCTGCTCACCCATGGGTGCTATGGGTGCTGGTGGGACAGAGCTGCTGTGCTCCCCCCATGCCCAAGGCAAGCCCTTGGGCCCTCGTCGCTGTTATAAACCTGAGGATGTGGCTGGGATGGGGAGATCCCACCGTGGGGTGTGCATCACCCAAGGGTGCTGAGCAGCGGCATCACTGCCCCAGAGCCCCCCCCACCGCACACCCATCCCCATGGACTGGGTCTGTGGGGCAGCCCTAGCCCAGGACCCCCCCATAGGCTCAGGTTTATAACATGGGGTGATGGGGAAGCTCCTCCTGGCTTCACCATGGGCTCTGCTTCGTGGTGTGTGACCTGGCAGGGGGGGTCTCTGCACTCAGGGGCCATGGAGCATCCTCTGCACTGGTCCAGGGCAATGGAGCAGCACCAGGGGGGCTCCCATGGGGCACTGTGGGTGTCCCCCCCATGGGGTGGGGATGTGGGCACAGGCTGATGTACCGGGGACCATGGTACCTCTTGCTCTGGGTCTCTCCCGCATCCCTGATGCGTTCCCATGGGAACCAGCGGTGATGCTGGGACAGGAGGAGGATGAGCACTAACGGTGACCTGCGTGCTCTGTCCCCAGCTCCTGCACAACGTCTGAGCTGGAGGCCTGGACACCGGGTGAGTGCAGGGGGTGATGGCTCTGCCCATCCCATTGCCACCCCACAGGGGGACATGGGGCATGCGGTGCCCCCATGCGGGTCCCAGCAGGGATGGGGTGGAGGTGCCAACGTTTGCTCTGCTCTTGTGCTCCAGGTTTGTCCATGCATGGGGCAGCCTCAGGGACCTGCTCCAGCCCCGCATCCCAGCACAGGCCGGGCTCCCATCGCATCCACCGGACCCTCTGACCTCCCCACACCCTGACCCATGGGCACACAGGAGGGGAATTGGCTGCGAGGCCACTGACCCACCAGTGGAGCAGGTCTGGGGAGCCATGGCCAGGCACCCATGGAGACTGTATAGGGACCAGCATCCATAGGGACCAGCATCCATGGGGACCAGCATCCATAGGGACCAGCATCCATAGGGACCAGCATCCATGGGGACCAGCATCCATGGGGACCAGCATCCATAGGGACCAGCATCCATGGGGACCAGCATCCATGGGGACCAGCATCCATAGGGACCAGCATCCATAGGGACCAGCATCCATGGGGACCAGCATCCATGGGGACTAGCATCCATAGGGACCAGCATCCATTGGGACCAGCATCCATGGGGACCAGCATCCATGGGGACCAGCATCGATGGGGACCAGGCACTCATGGGGACCATGCACCCATGGGGACCAATGTCCATAGGGACCAGCATCCATTGGGAGCATGCACCCATGGGGACCAGTGTCCATAGGGACCAGCATCCATTGGGAGCATGCACCCATGGGGACCAGCATCCATGGGGACCAGCATCCATGGGGACCAGCATCCATAGGGACCAGCATCCATTGGGAGCATGCACCCATGGGGACCAGCATCCATGGGGACCAGCATCCATGGGGACCAGCGTCCATAGGGACCAGCATCCATTGGGACCATGCACCCATGGGGACCAGACATTCCTGGGGCCAAGCATCTGGGGGGACCGGCATCTGGGGGGAGTAGCACCCTAGGGACCAGCATCCGTGACGATCAGGCACCCATGGGGGACCAGGCATCCGTGAGGACCAGCATCCATGACGATCAGGCACCCATGGGGACCAGCATCCATGAGGACCAGCATCCATGGGGACAGCATCCATGGGGACCAGCATCCATGACTATCAAGCACCCTTGAGGGCACAGGCATCCATGAGGACCAGGCACTCATGGGGACCAGCATCCACAGGGACCAGCATCTACAGGGACCAACATCCATGCGGACCAGACACACATGAGGAACAGGATCCACAGGGACCAGCATCCATGGGGACCAGGCACCCATGAGGAACATGCACCCATGAGGAGCAGGCATCCACAGCGACCAGCATCCATGGGACCAGGCATCCATGGGGACCAGCATCCATGGGACCAGCATCCATGGGACCAGGCATCCATGGGACCAGCATCCATGGGTCCAGCATCCATAGGACCAGGCATCCATGGGGACCAGGCATCCATGGGGACCAGGCATCCATGGGGATGAGCGCCATGGGACCAGCATCCATGCGACCAGGTATCTGTGTGGACCAGCACCCATGGGGCCCAGGCATCCCTAGGGGCCAGGCAGTACCAGCCCAGCAGACCCCAGCTCTCAGCTGCTTTCAGCTCCTGCTCCAAGCTCCAGGGAGGGCAGCAGATCCCGGCCGGACAACCCCGGCACAGGGTCCTGCTTTCCCTCCTTCCCTCTTGTTCGAAGTCCCCCTCCATCAGAGCGACAAGGCAATCCTTGAAGCATCCCTGAACCCCCATTGGTGGCGATCCTTCCCATGGGATGCATTCCACCACCATCGCGGTGCTCCCATCGCTCCTAGAGAGGGGAGGCCCCATTCCCGGGGTCCCCTCCATGGGCAGGGCATCACGAGCCTCTGTACCCCCAGACTGGGGGCATGCGGCCGCTGTCCTCCTCTCTCCATGGCATTAAAGGTCTTTGGGAAACGATGAGTCCTGGTCTCTGCCGGCCGGGATGGGGACAGTGGGAGCTGAGAGCCCATGGGTGCAGTGGGGTGGGCCTGGGTGCACCCGCTGGGTGCTGAGGAGGTGATGGGTGATGCCAAATCCACACTAAACCCATGGCTGGATGCAGGGATGCTGAGAATCGGGGTTGCAGGGATGTGGGGATGCAGGGATGGAGGGATACAGGGATGCAGGGATGGAGGGATACAGGGATACAGGGATGCTGAGAATCGCGGTTGCAGGGATGTGGGGATGCAGGGATACAGGGATGCAGGGATGGAGGGATACAGGGATACAGGGATGCTGAGAATCGCGGTTGCAGGGATGTGGGGATGCAGGGATGCAGGGATACAGGGATGCTGGCATGTGGAGATTCAGGGATGATAGGACATGGGGATGCAGGGATGTGGAGAAGCAGAGTGCAGCTATGCAGGGATGTGGGGTGCAGGAATACAGGGATGCAGGGATGCAGGGATGCTGGGATGCGGGGATGCAGGGATGCTGGGATGTGAGGATGCAGAGATGTGGGGATGCAGGGATGCAGGAATGCAGGGATGCTGGGATGTGGAGATTCAGGGATGATAGGACATGGGGATGCAGGGATGTGAAGCAGAGTGCTGGTATGCAGGGATGTGGGGGGCAGGAATACAGGGATGCTGGGATGCGGGGATGTGAGGATGCAGGGATGTGGGATGCAGGGATGTGGGGATACAGGGATGTGGGGGTGCAGGGTGCAGGGATGCTGGGGTGTGGGGATGCAGGGATGCAGTGATGGGGTGATGCAGTGATGCAGCGATGCAGGGATGCTTGGATGTGAGGATGTGGGATGCAGGAATGCAGGGATGTGATGGTGCAGGGATGATGGGATGTGAGGATGCAGGGATGTGGGATGCGGGGATGCAGGGATGCAGGGATGTGAGGATGCAGGGATGTGGGATGCAGGGTTGCAGGGATGTGGGGATGCAGGGATGAAGGGATGTGAGGATGCAGGGATGTGGGATGCAGGAATGCAGGGATGTGAGGGTGCAGGGATGATGGGATGTGAGGATGCAGGAATGCAGGGATGCAGGGATGCCGCGATGCAGGGATGCAGTGATGGGGGGATGCAGCGATGCAGGGATGCGGGTTGCAGGGATGCAGCAATGGAAGGATGCTGAAGCGCAGCTCCCTGCAGTGTCCCTTGGTGCGGGTGTCCCTCCACCTCCCCCTTGCTCTGACCCCCCTGGGTCAATCAGTCACACAGGGGTGACGTGTGTCAGTCACA